CCACGTGGGGTTAATGAGCCCTGCCAGGCAAAAGTAACGTTTAACACATGTGAATGGTCAAAGTAGGTCTGCATCTTGTCTCAACTTTTACAACCATAACACATACATTTGTTTTCGTACACTAGTACGTTATGTCACAAAATTTTACCAAACGCTGGGTGGTGAGGGTTGTTTGTGCACCGCTTCTAACTATACCGTAGTTGTTAAAATTTCTTTTCTATTTAAAATAACATAATACTCGACGTCATGAACTACATTACGTCTACTTCAGTTTACGATCATGGGATTTTTGATTGTGATAGGTACATAGTTTTTCTAACGTGTTAGTCATCTAATGGATCTTAACGCGAGTGCATTTTTTTCGGCTAATCCGTAACTTAATACCAAACATAAACAATAACATCACCCCAAAAACCAGTTGATTCTGACCTACTGAAGGTGAATTTTTCTACAATCAGCTGGCAATCGTAATTAATTTGCGATTGTGCAGGGCCGGCATCGAAACTGTTATAATTTTATAATTTTTTATTTTGTTTCAAAAGTCAAAAGTGTTATAACATTTTATGTTCCAAATGTCCGTAGGAATCTGTGGTATAAATATTAATTATTATAACTGGGACACCCTATATATTTGGTTGTAATACTTTTCCAATCGAACACCAATAGCTTCTAGTAAGCAATGCCCATAGATAATAGATATACAAAGGGTCCGAACTCTTATCTATGGTCCGAACACACTCTTTGATAGGAAGGTGTTCGTCTCAGGCCATAGATAATAGCCTCCGGCGTTTGTTGCGTCGAGAATGAGCTTACAAAGGAGTGGATTTAGAGACATCTGCAGTCGAAATGCGCACTTAGAATTTCGGTATACGGCGCGAAAAACAACTTGTTTTGTTTATTATAAGCATATGAGGTTAAACGTATGTAAATCATATCAGTCTGATCAGTTTAAACATTTTTAAAAGATGCAGTCATTTCTAAAATCAGGAAAACTATCAAATAGCTCAGAAAAGAGTGACCCTTCAACAAGCAAAGTAGTTAAGAAAAATCAAACAACTCCATGGGTCGAAAAATAGTAAGTTGTTTATGTATACTAAACTGTTCCTTTTATTAATCGTAAGTGGGTCTCCTTAGCCGTCCAAAAACCGTATCAGAAGTTGTAGAACAAAACGAGGTAGTTGCCGTTCTACAGCAATGCATTGATGGTGCGGATTTGCCCAATTTACTTTTCTATGGCCCACCAGGTACAGGAAAAACTAGCACAATTTTAGCAGCTGCTCGACAATTATTTGGGGACATGTATAAAGATAGAATTCTAGAATTAAACGCCTCAGATGAAAGGGGCATACAGGTAATCAGAGAGAAAGTGAGGACATTTGCCCAATTAACAGCATCACATATTAGACCAGAGTAAGACTTAAGATAACGTAATGAAATAATAATTATTGTCTATTATTTCAGTGGAAAACCTTGTCCTCCATTTAAAATAGTTATTCTGGATGAAGCTGACTCAATGACAAATTCAGCACAAGCCTCTCTTCGAAGAACAATAGAAAAGAACATTAAAAGTACACGTTTTTGTTTAATTTGCAACTATGTTTCAAGAATTATTGAACCTATAACATCCAGATGTACAAAATTCCAGTTCAAACCCATTCATGAAAATATGATTATGAAGCGGTAAAATAATTCCTTTTTTTATTAAGGCTGCTTTATCATTGTTAGTTTTCTCAGTTTACAGTTTATCTGTAAGGAAGAAGGAGTGTTATGTGAAGAAGATGTTTTTAATGTTGTTGTCAGTGCTGTGGGGGGTGACATGAGGAGAGCAATAACATGTTTACAGAGTTGTTCTAGACTCAGAGGAAAAAATGAGCAAATAAATATTAATGATGTGTATGAAGTCACAGGAGTAATTGCATTTCCACCTATTAATTTTTTGTTACAAAAGTTAGTTTAATAATATTTTAGATTGTTCCAGAAAAATGGTTTAATGATTACATAGAAGCTTGCAAAAAGGAACCTAAAGATGTAGCAGATATGGTTGATACTATACTTTTAGAAGCTTATCCGGCTTCACAGGTAGAATCGTTAGTTGTATTGGGCTAAAAAATCTAATTATTCATATTCTGATAGTTTCAAATCACTAGGTGCTTTAGTTTTGATAGAAATAATTGTAAAAATTAAAAAAATATGAGTTTTATTCTGAATTAATTTCATTAGTTTTTTGATAAAGATTAAAAAAAAAATTTTTGTGATGTTTTGAGGGGGTTTAGCATTTAAAGCAAGTGGTTTCCAATCTGTAGGGGCGCCCTCCTAGAGGACGTAAGACTATTTCAACAGAGCATGCACCTGATGCCAAAATATCATTTTCAAATAGAAACAAAAAAAAAGGTCATACCTTGAGAGGTATTTATGAAATTAGATTCTTAAGAAAATTGAGGGGAACCAACATTATAAAAACAGGGGGCAGAAGTACAGTGAGATTGGAAAGCACTGCGCCCTAGGCCTTCTAAACCGAAATGTTTATTTTTTTACAGTTCGTTGAACAGTTCAATGATTGGCTGATAAATCAAGAGAATATTTCAGATAAACAAAAGGCTCTAATTGGAAATAAATTAGGAGTAAGTTCTTATTAAAAACCAATCCGATTTCTGACGTTTTTAATTACTTTTGTTTACAGGTTGTAAGTTTTCACCTACAAGAGGGAGGAAGTGAATTTGTTCAGCTTTTAGATTTAGGATGTGCTGTTTGGAAAGTATTAAGTAAAAAAGAAAAATGAAAATATGTTTTTTTTTGTATTTCTTTGCTATATTTAAGTAATAACTAAATAAATAATTTGTTTTAGTAATTTTTATATATAGATATTTTATCCTTCTGCAATTAATTAACAAAAAAAAAACAACNCGTCCATTAAAAAACTCGAGGTAGCTACAGCCTCTAAAAGAGAAAAATTTATCAGTATTAATTTCTACTAATATCACCTTACAGCTAGATGAAAACCTCGGGTAGAGTTTTTTTTATATATTTCGTCTATTTTTTTTGCGCATAAAAAAGCTATGGTGTGGGATACCCGATAGAAATGGAGTTTCTGACTACGCTATTGTACTAATACCTTCAAGCAGTGAGTACAGAGGGAGAGAGAGACTACTCCGTCATCGTGCCACATATGACTTTTGCTGGTCAGCCATTCACCTTTGTTTCAAAACCGCTATGAACAAAAATTTAGTAATTTTATTACGGCCCTACTTAGCGTAGATAAAGTGGTAAAGCGTCGGTAGGAGAGGAGTGTATGGCCGTGGCTGGAAAGTGACACTACTGTATAGGTCTTTATAGTATAAGTTTAAGTTTATAGTACTACTACTCCGCCCTAATCTTGGAAAAGGTTCCCCCTCCACTATCAAATTGAGTAATTGTTATTGTCACGTTGTTATTAACAATTTCGATATTTTTAGTAGCCTATGTCCTTCCTTGTATCATTAAGAACACCCTGTAAAAGTTTCACTCATCTTTATATAGTAGTACAGATGGTGTGTAACGCATAAGATATCCCTAAGTTGTGGTAGTTTAGTATAATATAATAGACATCCAGCTCCAGATATATACATGTATACATATTTTGTTTTAGTTTTATAAGGGGTCATCCATAAAGTACGTCACACATTAAGAGGGGGGAGGGATCGACAAAGTGTGACATTGTGTGGCGAGAGATGGGAGGGGGTCCTAAGTTTCGTGACGTTGCTATATGGTTGGATGAAAAAGATGTTGACACATCGAATGTTCGTGACATTAACAACCCAAATGAGAGAATAAGTAAGGTTTAAAGTCCTTGGATTCAAAATGATTATATTTGTAACTTCCATTAATATAATTAATAATTAATTGTTTTGTTATTTTTTTCAAATGTTTGATTTGATGTTAATAATTTAAAAAAATAATTTAAATGGAAATAAATCTAATTTTGGAACTACTGTTTTAATTTAATAATTTCTAGATGTAAAATTGCAAAGTGTGTGACGTCATACTAGGGAGGGGGGGGCGGTTACAAATGTGAACAAACATTGACAAGGCCGGGGGAGAGGTCAAAAATCAAGAAATTAGTGTAACGTGTTACCCCTAGCTAAGTATAAAAAGATTTAGTTGAAATAACAATAATCACTAACCAGCAAAAATCGTACGGGACACAATAGCGTTAAACTCCATAAGTACTGCGTACAAAGTGATAGGTATCTGTCGAATAGCATAATAAATTTCGTTTGTGTCTGATATCCACACCACACGGTTATCTTTTAATATATATTATCGGAAATGATGTAAGTGCTCCTGCCCATTCCTTTTTTACTGGTTTACATATCGGAAAACGTATGTATTGACAGTAGGACAATAGTTTTGACTTAAATATATCAAAATATATAATGTGATTAAAGTGTCATTAGTAATTAAAATAATATACATATAATGAAATTAAATGCTTACGTTTTTTTTTTAATACAAATACCGCTTTCAATTTCCGCAAGTAAATTTTAAAAGCTGTTCATTTCCTTTCTCTAAGTATGAAAAATTTACAGATTATAATACACTGCCCAAAAAATGGCCCTCGAAGATTAATTGCTTATTGTCAAAAAATGAGCCTAATATTTCTGATATACAATTTTTGTTATTTACCCCGTAGGTGTTTTTTACTAAACTAATCGAACCATTTTATGAAAATTTGACTTTCCAGGGACAATAAGAATCAGCCTGAACTAGTAACTTACGAAAATTTGTATAAGTGCCAATTTTTTAATCCTGCGAGGACAACCAAAATAATTATTCATGGATATTCACAGTCTTGCACATGTGAAAAAATTGTGGGAATGAAAAATGGTAAAGCGTTTTTTGTATGAAAAAATGTAAAAGACGCCATTTCTTAAAGCCTGAAATGGATTCTTTGTCATATTTCAAATGAGTGAAATAACTTTTTCGGTCACATTTACAGCTTATTTAAAAAAGGGGCCCTACAATATTATATTGTTGAATTGGAAAAGTCTTGCTGCTTCTCCATGTTATTTAAACGCTTTAAACTACACTATTTACATAGGTCACTTATTGGGGACGTTTTTGCAACATTTCTTATTAGACAGGGTGCATTTAATAGGATTCAGTTTAGGAGCTCATATTGCAGGAATAGCTGGACAATTGTATGAAGGACAAATACTGAGAATTACTGGTAAAAATAAAAGTTGTTTTATTGTTTACTAAATTTCTTATTTTGACGATACGAATGGCGGATTACATTTAGGTTTAGATCCAGCTAACCCTTGGCCACTAGTAAAAGCTCATAATTACCCGCAATCTGAAAAACTGGATAAAGGAGACGCCCTTAATGTGGATATAATTCATACATCACATTTGGGCTACGTCACCCCTCAAGGGGATGCAGACTTTTATGTCAACAGACTAAAGAGGCAACCTGGATGTTCACATGCCAATAGTAAGTGAACATTCACAGAACATGAATTTTGCACTTAAAATTTGATGCCCTATTAAATTCAAAAGATATTTCAAAAGAATTTCTCATCTAATTTAATAATAATAAATTAGAATAGTTAAAAATAATAATTGAGAATTAACAAATTTTGACTTAAGAGTCGATCAACCTAGTGTTTATAATTTTTATGTGAGATGATTCTTTCATATGGAACTTGTGTGCTTTGAACACTTTCATTTTTTTCCAATTTCTTGGTTTTTGCCCTTAATTTTTTTTTATCGATTTGGCCCCCCACTTTCACTTTGTCTCCCCGATGGCGATCGCCACTTGGGCCAGCCCCTACCCTGTTGTCGATTCTGAAACTCAACCTATGTTATACTTCATTTACTTTCTCTAGCAATGTTCCACTTCCAATGTCTTGGATGCGCACTGGCAAAATCGTAGGTAGATAGAAAAAAGCTCATTATATTCTCGACTCTTGTTCATTAAACATACTTTTTCATATAGTACCTGCCAAAAGTTTTGTTCAATCGTGAATAGTAGTGCGAGTCGAAAACAATCGTTTAATATGTCTTCAAATATAAATAAACATCTCGTTGATATTTTCAGTAGTAAATAGTACCAATAACAGCACATTTGAGCAATGCAATTGTAGTGGATAAAATGATCAATTTTTCCGTGCAGTACTGTATGGATTATACGCTTCTCACCGGTTAAGAGTTTGTCCGAGAGTTATTTCCTTCCTTTTCTGGCCAGTGCTGTTCCTTTCTACTTTGCGCCGGTCAAATTAAAGGTCACATCGCTACAGAAAGTAAACGAAGTATACCTAATATTGACTGTGAATGAATACAAGAAATTTCCACTATCGTTTTTAATTTTCAAAATTTCTAATTTAATTTTATATTTTTAAAAAACAGTGAGATGTTATCACAAAAGAAGCTTAGATTATTTCGCTGAGTCTATTTTATCTTATGAAAAATTCAAAACAATGGAATGCGAATCTTTTGGAGAATATAGAAAAGGAAATTGTACAAATGAAACTGATGTTTATATGGGCGAGTCGTGGCCACAAAGGTTGGTTCTATTAATAAATGAATAAATATTATTATACCTTCTAAAGAAAATAAATTAATTTGAGACAAAAATTAATACGTATATTTTCACTGTTTTCATTTAGTGGTGGAAAACGTGGCATTTTCTGTATTAATTTGAACGAAACAGCTGTCGATTCTTATTTGGAAGAAGAAGTCGAATGTGAATTTTAAATTATCTATAAAACAGTATGTACAGTTAATAGTTGGTCATATAAATATATGAAAAAATTTATAAAATTTGTGTAATTATTTAATTATAAAATATCAAATTCTTTTTTAACTTAATACAATTGTTTTTAATACGTTTAGTTTGAATAATAATAATCGTAATAATAATATAAAGGTAGGACGCATAAAAATTAAAAGAAGTCGCTAATTGGTATCTAGGAATATTTCAGGATGGAAGGAGTAATAGTACAATGGATAGCGCAGAGTGGAGTCGCCTTTAACAAAAAGAAGTCGCTTCTTTGAGCCCGAACGATTAATTTAGAAATTCGAAAAAAATTGTTAAAGGGAGCACGGTTCAATGGCACGCCGTTTTTCTATTTAATGATATAATAAGAATTTAATCAGGTGTCTCTAGTCACCATAAAAATAGAGAAAAAAATATAGTATTGAAATTTTTCAGAACATAATTTTAAAACCGAATATTTTTTATATCATAACGTAATAACAATTTAATGAATTAAAATGTTTTACAATAAAACGTTATTCAGGTAATTAATATTATGTCCCGACATAACAATTATCTGATTTAAAATTTTACAAATGCACATTTTTAGTATGAAAATTTAATTATATCGTGATATATTTGTAATATGGCAATTAAGATATTAAAATTCTTGGAAGAAAATTATGGTTTAACATAATTATTTGATTTTCCCTCCATTTAAGGTGAAATGTTTATTCAAAATTATTTTTATGTACATAATTTTAATTCAGAATTATTATTATCTACATAATTTTAATTCAGAATTATTTTTATGTAAATAATTTTAATTTGGAATTATTTTTATATACATAATTTTAATTCGGAATTATTTTTATGTTCATAATTGTAATTCAGAATTTTCTTCCCCTCTGAGAACGTAGTTAGAAATAAGGAGCAATATTAGGTTTTGTAAATTTAAAAATTTGAAAAAGTCCCGCACAAGGGGCGAAACGTCGGAGTATATTTTCACAATAAAATGATGAAAATACCGTGAATAGAGAAGGTTAGAAATGAGGAGGTATTAGAAAGAGTAGGAAATCAATAAGAAATAGGCAAGATAGGTTAGGATGGCATCTTCGTAAGCATGAAGGGCTTGTTACAGACAGATTAGAACCAGCAACAGGGGTTAAAAGAAGTAGAGGTAAACCTGGATTAAATTACTCTTCACAAATAATTAAAGATGTGAGAACTTCCAGTTTTAGGGAAATGCGAAGATTAACTCAAGATAGAAAAGAGTGGAGATGGGTGTCTAACCAGTCTTGGGACTGATGATCCTATAAGTATGAAAATTTATTATCGTTATTCTAATGACTTTTTTCAAAATTGTCAATAAACCAATATATTCTGGCGTGTGCATATACTGAGTTCAGATGGTTATCATTACTTTCATAATAAAATTAAACTTCAACACGAAATTTGTGGTTTTCACTGATCACTATTTTGAAATTATTAATTTTTGAATTTGTATTAAATTGTTTAAAAAACCTTTTAACTTTACATACATAATTGGTACAACAAAATATTGAAATAAGTAAAAATTCAAATAAAATATTCTCGCTTATATATGGAGCGTGGATTTCCTTCACAGCAAACACTGGCACCTTATTAAAAAAATTCCGCCCGTAGCATACTCTGGCTATTGTCACAAACGAGGGCTACCTAGCTTAATAAATGACTAATTTTATTAAGGCTAATAGTTACGTAGAAATAATCGAAGTTATTGATTATTTTCAAGTGAAATTACAACGAAAGTGTCAAATCTAACTCAGATTTTAACATAATGGATTTTAGTTAAAAAAAAATTCGCAATAATTGAACCTCTACAAATTTTGATTATAAAAGATAAGGAGCGGGTTTTGAAATAATTATGAATTTTATTATTCAAGAAAGAAAGTGTCAATAAATAGTACAATTTTCACCGTTTTTCCTCGAATTATAAAAAAAGGAGCTGTGTGTTGCATGTTTTCAACCTATCCCAGACACTTTTCCTATGATTTCTAAACCTTTATCATGCCTCTTATTTATTAGTTTAATATTTGTATTTATTTAGTGATTATATACTTGTTATAATGTCCTTTGATTGTTTACTGTTTCCCCTCTTCGTAAATGCAATAAATTATTGAATAAGAGCCTTTGTATTTTTTATTTAATAGTCTAAGAAAAACAATTTCATTAAAGAAATATTTATAAAGTTTTCTATTATTGTATAAAAAACTTATTATAAATCGTAATACATAAAAGATGGATTTACCTATTTTTTAATTAAGGAATTAATAATTTATTAAGAATCCACGTGAACTTTGATTAGGTAAATCAATACTTATAATAGGTTATTATAACACTACAACGGAAAAACTATTCGATTGCAAAATGTTTAATAATTAGGTGAAATGTTAACTCATTTTTCAATTCAAATTGCTGAATTGACAGTGGTCCTCGTGGCCTTTAAAGATAATAACCTTTTACTGATAAGAACAAGTAAAAAAGTAAAATGCCATTCACAAACACGTTTAACTAAATCAGAAAAATAAAAACAACCTGCCTTTTAAACCGACTTATGATTATGAATCGATTTTAATGATTCTTTTTTTATTAGATAGACCATATATCAAATGTGGTCCCATTTAAATTTGAAGAGAATAAATATTCTACTCCTAAGGGTGAAAAATTAGAGGATGATTTCCGTTTTTAATTATTTAGTTTAAGTTTGTACATGTAGACAAAGTATTGAAGTCGATTTCTAATGAAAGAATCTTAATTATGATAAAATGCATTAAACATTGTTTTTTTACATCTGTTAATTTTGATTGTGAATTGCAGAATTATATGAACATTATTTCAATTTTACGTAATTTTTTTACTTTAATTCAAGAAAAGTATGTAGAGATTGTTGAGTCTTAAAGGCTATTGGTTTATGATAAAATGTAACAAATTAAAAACAAATTAACTTAACAAAAATAATACCGGACTGAATGAAAATTGTTATATTCACTTATCATTGCATAACGATTACATGTGACGTAATGCAAATTCAGCATTTTAAACTCCTATAAAAGCAAATTTCTTGCTATTTGCATACAACTAAGTAATATAGACCCGTTTTAGCAGCATCATTATCATCAAAAATGTTAAAAACTATTGTAACTTTATTCTGTTTTGCAGCCTTTGCAATAACCAATGGATTGTTTATTAGAAAAGTTGAAACAAACAGTGACCAGCCTTCCGATAATTGGGCCGTAAGTGGTGTTATCTATTTTATTTTTTCATTTATTGTTCAGTAAATTAAATCCATACTACATCCTACTATTTCAAAAATATCAACTTTTTTGAACTGGCAGATAGAGCAAATTAGAAACTACGGATATCCCGTTGAATACTATTCTGTACAAACTTCTGATGGATATATTTTGGACTTATTCCGAATTCCTTCAGGACGTCGAGAACAAGGTACTTATATAAAAGACAATAATTTTTATTACTCCTTTATCATCAGGTTCAGTTTTTTTCTTGAACATAATTTTTAATTTTATTCTAGGTGTACACCAGCATCAGCAAAACAGGCCATCAGATATTTCTTCAGGTCAAAGTATTGAAAATGACTTCCAATTGAATTCACGCCGTCAGGTAAAAAAAGCCATTCACAATATTTATTACTAAAAATCACGTATGTTCGACATTCGACAAAATATTTTACCTAACATCATCATCATAAGGTCGTCAGTCCTAAGACTGGTTAGACACGTACCTCCACTCTTTCTAATCCTGAGCTAATTTTTTAATTTTCCTAAAACTAGAACAGCCAACATCCTTAACTATTTGCGAACAGTAATCTAATCTAGGTCTACCTCTCCCTTTCTTGACTCCTGTTTCTGCCTCTAATATGTGTCTGACTAGACCTTCATGCCTGAGAAGGTGTTCTACCAACCTATCTCGCCTATTTTTTATTGACTTCTATAGAGTCCTCTGTTTTCCTTTTCATTTCTAACCTTTTCTACCAACGTTATCCTCATCATCCGCCTATAACACCACATTTCGAACGCTTCTAACCTTTTCTTTTCCGTCACACCCACTTTCCATGTTTCGCACCCGTACAAACATACACCTTTAACAACCTTTTTATAATTTCTAAATTAACCGTTCGCAAGCATACCTAACATAAGAAAAAAGTATTTCATCAACCGGGAATCAAACCTGGGGCATCCACATGACAGGCAAACAATTGAACGCTGAAGGCAATCAACCATGTTGATTAATAATAAAATGAATGTTTAACTGCTACGCGGGTCGGATGACGTTCGATTTCTGACCGATGCAAAACCTTATTTTATTTTTTGCACAGTACTTTATTTATTTATATCATTCGAAGGGTACTGTATTTCATTGATTGTTTCGATATGAGCTTCATTCTTCTTATAATACATAAATACCCAATAATAACGCAAACCAGAAGTTTCAACGTTCACACGTTAATATAATGGTTTTACAATTTTCTTTTGTTTTTTTATTTTAGGATAGTTATAGCAATACAGATGATCAAAACATTCGTGGTCACACTAAAACCCAATGGGGCTCAGACCAAGATAATCAAAATTTGAATCAGTGGAGTTCAAACAGAAACGACCAAGATCGAGACAGGGACGACCAGAATCAAGATCAATGGTCATCAAACAAAAACAATGGTGACCAGTGGAATTCAGGCAGAGATAATCAAAACCAATGGAATCCAAATATGGATGATCAAAATGAGAACCAGTGGGGCTCAAACACAAACGACCAAGACAAGATAGGTTCCAATAGTAAACCAGCCGTTCTACTGGTTCATGGTTTATTATGCTCAGCTGACAGTTTCATAATAGGTGGACCTTCCCAGGGCTTGGCATTTGTTTTTGCCGACAATGGTTACGATGTCTATTTAGCAAACACAAGAGGAAGTAAATATGGTCTCAGACACACCACCCTTAACCCTCAATCTGATGCAGCTTTTTGGAGATTCAGGTAAGAAATAAAATACTGATAGATTTCTTTAGAAGCAACGTTTTTATACATTGCAATTGTACAGAAAAAAATAACATCTTCCTTATTCCAACTAGATAGATATATATTTACATATATCTAAATACTTTAGTTGAATTAATGTTTACAAAAATGAAGAATTCTTTTAATTTGAGGAGTAAAACGAATCTCATCGAATTTAAATTATTGGAAAGCATTTGCTTCACTTTTTTATCTCTTAGAAACTATGTAGTATAGAATAATGATAATTTTATAAAAAATAATTATTATTTTTTTAATTTTATATTTCCCAAACTATAATATCTCGAGAAATAAAATAGAGTTGATCAAATCAAATCCTGTAATCTGTATATATTTTATAGAGTTTAATTTCTTATAGTGTCCTCTAATCGAATTTCGTATATCAAATTAAAATAAAGCAAAATTGGTGCTTCTGAAATGAAATAACAATTTTTTTCCCATATTGTTTCTAATACAGAAGTAAAAGCTCATTTTTAAAAATAAGTATTTTTTTAACACTGCAATAAATAGAATATTGCGCACCAAAGGAAGAAGGTACAACGTTCACTCCTAGGCATGAATTACCACCCTAAAAGCAAGGGGAACAGGCTCCTGGGAGAGGGTGCCGTACTTTCTTCCTGAGACTCGCATGCCATCCAAATCGTATGCGAAGGTAGAAACTTCATGGATAGTGGTAAAATCTTTTCCTAATATGAATTTTTTATCTGAGCCGGAATGTTCCTCTTTCGTCCGTAAAATCAGGGAAAAACATTGTACTTTCGGTAGGGATATAGCAAAAAAGTTTTTTCTTCGACATACCTTATTATGTATGTAAAAGTATTACCTACTACTATTTCATTAATTTGTTATGCTGTTTAATTAGTTCTGACGAAATTGGTGTAAAAGATCTGCCGGCAATTATGGACACTATTGTTCGAGTAAGTGGACAGCAAAAAATTTATACAGTTGGTCATTTACAAGGAAACACACCCCTGTATATTATGGCCTCAGAATTACCTCAATACCATGATAAAATTCGCATGCTTATATCGTTGAGTCCTGTGGCATATATGGGTCATTCAATGCACCCTATGTTGAAATATATTAATCAACACAGTTCCTCAAAAGGGGTAAGAAATTCTTACTCAAGTCTTTTTATTTAACAAATAAGACTTTTGTTGTTAAAGTGGTTGATTAAAAACATTGGTCCTAATAACTTCCGTCCTTCCGAAGAAGTTCTAAACAATGGAGGGAAAGCTGAATGCCAACAAACTGCTAATGATAAGATGCTGTGTGATAATCTCTACTTCTTAATAAATGGATACAAGTCCAGAAACTTCAATAAAGTAATCGATAAAATTTTGAATTATTAGAAACGAAAACGTTATCATATTTTTTTTAGACTCTTTTGGAAAAAGCAATTCAAGATCATTATGGAAGCACTTCCAGTCGTCAAATAATTCATTTTGCACAACTCGCAAAAACTGGTAAGTAAAAAAAAAGAAGCCGGCACGGGATGCCTGGCTTATGTAATATAATAAATTTTATTTCCATTAAAGGAAGCGAAAATGTAGAAAGTAAATAAGGCTAATAATAAGAGAAAACGAAATCAACAAAAAATGTCGCTGGCAACGCTCAACGCATTAATTAGGTGAAGCTAAGAGCAAATGGGCTAATGATAATAGTGATAGGTCCTTACAACTTGCTAATATTTCAAATGTTAAGTCAGAGCCATGATAAGGGATCATTATTTTGAAACCAGGTCTGATGTTTCGCCAAGTGCTTTTAGTCGTTTTCAAGGATAGGTCAGGCGAAACGTCGAACCTGGTTTCAAAATAATTATCCCTTACCGTGGGCCCCGCGATCTTAGCACCTCATATGTGGAATTTCGATTTAAAATTGTACCATTTGAAAGGTCAGAAAATGGTCATAAAAGGTCAATCGGTTTGATTAATTGGTCAGCGATAGAAAATTTTTTATTAAGCATTTAACTTTTTCAAGGTCAATTAAGAATTTTAGCACCTTATTTATCATAAAAACAAAAAATAATAACTTTATTCGATAGATAATGATCTACTGATAATTGCTCAGCCGAAATAAATTATTGGTCAGATCAATTTTATTAAAAAAAAATAAGTAAGTCGCGTAGACAGTTGTGCGCAGGGTAGTAAGCGTAAGAATTACAAGTTGCTTCTATATACTCAACGAAGTGGAGCATGATCTTTTTCATTCCCTACTATTAATAATTTAAAAAAAACATTTACACTTGTTTATTTCATACCGAAATATTTGAATGGTTATTCAAACCTTTTACATTCAAATCATACATTTATTAATACACTAAATCTAGGAAACAGAGCATGCGCACAACTGTACGCGACAATTATTTTTTTTTTAATAAAACTGATCTGACCAATAATTTATCATTATCTATTGAATAAAGCTATTATTTTTTGTTTTTGCGAGAGATGAGGTGCATAAATTCTTAATTGACTTTGAAAAAGTTGAATGCTTGATAAAAATTTTTCTATTGTTGACCATTTAATCAAACCGATTGACCTTTGATGACAATTTTCTGACTTCAAATAATATAATTGGTCAATCGAAATTCCACTTATGAATGTGCTAAGATTAATAAAAGAAATGAATATCATCTTGCTATTATTTGTCTGAAAAGTAAAACATGCGCTTTGAAATTGGGAGATGTGACCACAATTAACTATTAAGTAGTCATCTAACAGAAGCTCTGACGAAATACCAGACTGGACAAATGAAGCGTCTTAAAGTCACACCCTCACAAAATTTTGGCGATCGCATGTAAATAACAGAGGATTCATGAGGCTGTTGTGCGCCAAAAAAATGTTTCACATCACAATTTAAAGAAAAGAAACGTTAAATGTGTGGTTTAATAAAAAAAATTTGTTTTAGGATCCTTTGCACGATACAAACCACTGGATGATGTTTCTCAAGGTTACAGTAACGAACAACAATACGACCTTCAAAAAATTTCCATACCTGTATATTTACTTAGTGCTTCCCAGGATTACTGGTCAAGTCACGAGGATGTCGAAAAACTTGCAAATCGTTTACCCAATGCAAACAAAATTGAAATCCAGAATTTGGATATTGGCTTAGACTTTTTGTATGCTAATAATGTAAGACAAAAAGTATACGAAAGAGTTGTTGATATTATTAGAAGTAACTAAGACAAATGAAATATTAATAAAAGAAGCTTACCAGTACATTTGTGATTTCTGTTTATAGGAATTCTATGATTCTTAGTAAATCTTTTAAATATTGAAATAAGGGAAACAATTACAATAACAAAAAAAAGGACAATTGAAAATTATTGAAATAGCATTTTGAGGCACATAAGCAATTGTCAATGGCAGACACATCGAATGCATCTTATTTACCAGTCACCACTTTTCAGTTACATTATCTATCTATGTTGGTTACTTTCCAGAAGAAACGTAACCTGAAAATTTTGTAGATATAACCGTGATATAACCTCGAAACTTTTTTGCTCTGCAAATTTGTAATGAACTGTACATGGGGCTTGCAATTACAAAATATATTAATTTGTGAAAAAAATCGTTTCTATGACTCCATTTAATGTGCGGTGATTTTTATTAAACAACTGAAGACTTGCTGTATGTCAAGCCAATTTTAAACATTATTGTCTAACATAACAAGTAAGGTATTATACATTTCAAAAAGGGCAAGCTAAAATGTTTACATTTATGAAACGAAAAGTAAAGCCTCTTTAGCTTAATTTTACATAATATAGGTGGAGAAAAATGTTACGACTGTGCAGAATTGGTTATGTGTCAATCAAAAATGTTCCGCCAGCCGGCTTAATAAAGTTGGGAACTGGACCGTGTAAGTATCAGTTTTAAGTATACAATTTAAATATTTTTTATTTATTTTATTGTATTTACATACAACGGTGAAGAAATAGGTTGTTACCATTCCATAAATGATAGTTTTTTTAGGCAACACAAGTAAGCAGCACAGAAGTATTTTACAGCGATTTTATAGTAAAAAAGATGATAAGGGAAAATTACCTGACATACAACAGGTACAGTTTAAATCTGATCCAACAAAAGTCCCCCCTGGTCTTGATCCTGCTCCCTATCATATTCCTCATCAGGTCTAAAATAATATTTCAAAAAAAAAAATTAAATCTCGATTTATTATATTTACGTTTCTTTAGGGTCCTTCGGCATATCAAGCATGTAAAACACCTAATTTGTATGATCAAGTACCATCTCCATCATACCCTTGGGGTCCAATGGTAGCTGCTTATGACAAGAAAAATAGAACATTATTAATTATTGGCATAATAATGTTTTTGTCTTCAATTTTTATAGTAATTTTTGAATTTGTATTAAATTGTTTAAAAAACCTTTTAACTTTACATACATAATTGGTACAACAAAATATTGAAATAAGTAAAAATTCAAATAAAATATTCTCGCTTATATATGGAGCGTGGATTTCCTTCACAGCAAACACTGGCACCTTATTAAAAAAATTCCGCCCGTAGCATACTCTGGCTATTGTCACAAACGAGGGCTACCTAGCTTAATAAATGACTAATTTTATTAAGGCTAATAGTTACGTAGAAATAATCGAAGTTATTGATTATTTTCAAGTGAAATTACAACGAAAGTGTCAAATCTAACTCAGATTTTAACATAATGGATTTTAGTTAAAAAAAAATTCGCAATAATTGAACCTCTACAAATNTAATAAACTGACTATATAAATATTTTAAACTTAGGTATTAGTTATCGGAAATGAAAATTATCATCCTTACATGAGACCACCACTTTCAAAAGAAATTTGGTTCAATGAAGAGGATGAAGCATCGAAATTGGTCTTTAAACAATGGAATGGATCTGAACGAAGGTATGGGACATTCATTTTGCGCCCATATAAACTAAAAATTGTAACAAAGATCATAATGTGAAGCCACTGCAGGGTATTTCACTTATATGCTTGGAATAAATGGGGACTATCCCAATATATATTAACATTTTGAAAAATTTAAATTCGTTAACTCTCAAAACAAGAAGTTAGGTGTCAAATAAAAAATAATTTCTTTATTTGGCTTTATTTGTTCATACTAAATAGAATTCTAGCATTGTATGCTGTGAACATTATGCGGGGTTTCCATTGTGCACGTATCAAGTGTTTGCAGTATTTCTTACTTTAAGGCTTTTTAAAAATATTTTATTTTTTTAAAGCTTATTCTATGAACCTCCCGATTTTTATATGAATCCCCAAGGTTTGCTAAACAATGAAAATGGAGGTGTCTCTGTGGCTCGTGGTTGGACTGTAAAAAGTTTGGATGTCGAAAACAGAACGGCTACATTAGATGACGGTTATGTAATTGAATATGAAAAGTGTTTAATAGCTACTGGTATGTTTCAGTTACTCAAAAATTTAATACATAAAATTTAAGACTAATTCTATTTGCAATTAGGCGCTCGACCAAAGAACTTGGACATTTTCACTAAAGCTCCCACGAACATTAGAGAAAGAGTAACTACTTATAGGGATATTTGTGATTTTGAAGAGCTCAGAGAAATCGCCAAAGAAGTTAAATCGCTTGCCGTAATAGGTGGTGGATTCTTGGGAAGTGAACTTGCATGCTCACTTGCAAGATTCAGTAAACGCAACAATGCAGCCACAATTACTCAAATATTTAGAGAAGCCGGTAATTTGGGTAAAATATTGCCACAGTATCTAAGCGAATGGACAACAGAAAAGGTCAAGGCTGAAGGTGTCAACGTAAGTAATAATTAAAAATAGTAAATTGTGTTTCCACTTAAATTTCTTAAAGGTATTGGCAAATGCAGAAATTGTTGACGTGAATTTAAACGAAGATGACAGATTAGTCTTGACACTTGGCAATGGAAAAGAATTAGTAGTGGATCATGCTGTTGTTGCAATTGGAGTACAGCCAAATACTGACCTAGCACAAAGTGCAGATTTGGAAGTTGATCCTGAACAGGGGGGCTACCTCGTTAACACCGAGTTACAGGCGCGAACAAACCTTTACATTGTAAGTTTTTTAGGAATAACTTTTAACAGTTTCTTTCGTTTTTGGGTATACCTAAGCAATTGCACAAGGCTGGGGTGGCGGAGCATGATTTTGTTGAGTGGGTAGCCAGATGAAAGCAGAAAAATCATAAGGGTGGGATAAAAAATGGAGGCGGTTCACCGCATAAACCAAGGAAGTAATAATTGCCTTGTAAATAATAGATTAATGAAATGAATCCAAAAATTAATTAATTAATTCATTAATTGACTTAAGGAATTGTGGATTAAACAGATGAATTTGTGGTTTTTAGTTTAAAACCGAAATAACATTTTTTTGTAACCCAATTTTTATATCCTTTAATGTTGGAAAAAAATATTGTTGAGGGGTATTCCCCAAAATCGGCGTTTATAAACGATAAGCTAGCCACCTATGTAGTTAGGCTACAGTGATATTTTTGTCTACTAAAATCAATTTGCAATTAATCTAATTCTTTTGTACAAAACTTTCATGGTACCACATCATAAAATTGGGCCGTTATTAAAGTTCGACAGACGGTTACGAGAATTTGCCACTTGGTTACATATATTTTCCGTGTTTCTCTCGATTGCGTTTTTATGTTTTCAATTGCAAATGCGCGTACATACAAACGTAGTTGTCTTTCACCCAGTAGTGTTTTGGAGCGCTATTGCCTGTGCCTTAACTCATCAGTGACAACTAATATTTATACACTATTATTTATTGTACTATATGTTCTCTCTCTCTCTGCCACCCTTGGAAATGCTAGATAATTTACCAAATCAGGAGAAATTAATTTCAAAACTGTACTGTTATCTTCAAGATTATTAAAATTTGAGAACATTAAAAAGTTTATTTGCTGTTGCCGAATATTTCAAGCGTCAGTCAAGGCCTTAGTAAGGTATTTCATATTGAATATTTCAGGCAGGTGATTGCGCCTGTTTTTACGACCCCCGATTAGGACGTCGCAGGGTTGAACATCACGACCACGCTGTTGTGACCGGTCGTTTAGCAGGGGAGAATATGACAGGCGCAGCAAAACCTTATGTGCACCAAAGTATGCTATGGTCTGATCTTGGCCCCGACGTCGGTTTCGAGGCTATAGGAGTAGTTGACAGTAGTTTGCCCACCGTTGGGGTTTTCGCAAAGTGCACCACCAAAGACACTCCCCAAGCAGTGGTCGAAAACACAGGTGAAGGAGACCGATCTCTCACTGAACAGGTATATTTAAAAATTCAACAACTGGAATGTTGAATTTTTATTGTTTATTTTATTTTCTCTTTTAGAATGCTGCTGAATGTCCACCAAGTATTTTAAATTCGGATGAGCAGCAAGAAGATAATTACGGGAAGGGGGTGGTGTTCTATTTAAGGGATGGCGTCATTGTGGGTATTGTATTATGGAACGTGTTTAATAGAATGCAGGTGGCCAGACAGGTATTAAAAGAGGAACGAAAGTACGACGATCTCAACGAAGTAGCTAAACTATTCAATATCCATGATGATTAAGTATATTCAGATCCTTGTGCTGTCTTGGTTATTATTGGCTGGCATCAGACCAATTATTACATCGTAATCACACTCCCCCTTCATGTCATCAAACAAAATAATAGTATTTTAAATAAGTAGCATTTTGTTCCATGTCGTCTCTTCTCTTCGCATATTTTTGTTTGGTTAAGTTTTTTTCTCCGATATTATACGAGACTAATAGTGCAAAGTTCGTTTTGTATCATCAAGCGGCATTTACAATGTAAATAAGTATGTAAGTTAATTTTTTAATGATATACAAAGGATTAATTTATGCTTTTCATTCATTTGATCTTCTTTACAGGATATTGTTTTTTTTTTCGTTGAGTATAAAATGTCAAAAAAAATAAAACAGTTTATTAATTTAACTTTACTTAAAGAAATATTACGTTAATGACTCAGAGGCACATCATAACACATGAACAAAATAACGACTGTTTAATATCACCATGAAATCGTCCACGTTAATTGTTTTAAGTTCTTTAGCTTGTCGCTTTCCAAATTTTCTCCAAATTGATCTGAAAAAATGGTTGAAATTAAAATAAGATAATAAGAAACATACTTTGAGAATAATTTACCTAACTGATTGTTTGAAAAAATTAAAATTTGTAAAGAATTGCAATTTTCAGTGACACTTTTTAATACGTTTTCTGTAAGATTCGGACAACTGGATATTCTCAATTCCACCAAATTTTTGCCACTTGATCCTTTCACTACTTGTTCCAATCCTGCATTTGTTATCTGCCACAAAGAAAAAAAATGCCATTAAACTACATTCTATACTTTCTAATTAAAAAACTTCTCTAAAATGGCTCATTCTATTTACATAAAGCCTGTCTTCAAAAAAAATATTTAAATAAATTATTTTTTATATGCATTTAAATAGAAAAAGGATATAAATAGTACTCAATAAATGGAAAATAGCAAGACAAAAGGTAATCCTTCATAAAACGATAAAATGAGACAACTGAAATATGAAATAAACTGAAGGTAAAATACGGACCTTCACAAATGTTAGAGAAAGGTCAAAATATTTTAATCTAATTTGCTAAGCTGTTATTCATTAAAATAATTTCATGTCTACAGCAAAGGCTTTGAACATTTTAAATACAGCAATACAATCTAAGTAACTACTAACACCATTAATTGCAGTTCAAAATTATTTTTAATTTATTAAAAATCGTTGGAAAATCCAATTCATAGCATAATTGCAAAAATTAACGATTTTTACATGCCTTATTCAATTACCGTTTAAAATACTTAATAAAAGATATGACAATTTTTCAATTCAATTAAGATTACATTAGCCATATTTGTATGATTCTAAACTAATAATAATTGCGTTTGTTACGCATTGTACATATGAATAAATTTTAAAGAAATATAAAAGGTTCACCTTTTCAGTCATTACCG